GCTAAATCCACAGAGCTCTGCTTGGGAGCTGAAACTCCACCAAGGCTGTTGGGTAACCAGACAGCAATGACGCAACCCAACAGCCTTGAGAGCTCTGGGTCCCAGCCCGTGCTTTCGGGGGCCTTGTTCTGTCAGCAGTCCTGACGCCCCTCACTGGTCCTTGTACTGCCACGTGGTGACTCATAACAAACAACCATCTGGATCACAGTTTAGCAACTTCTGCAGGAATAATGTCACCTGCTTGTGTTCACTGTACAAACACAGGGGGAGAGCAGGAAAAAATGTTTGACCCTGCAACCAGGCTGGTTTAACTCCTGCTCCCCTTCCACCTTCACACCATCAATTCTCTCTCTCTCTTTCTGTGCTAACAGAGTGAGTTGATCCAATGGAAGACAACCCTTTCTTGTCCTGGTAGTGGCCTGGTTTTCCTTCAGCAGAGGTGTACCAACCCAGCTCACCCTCTGGCTGCTGGGTCTTAAGGGGAAGAGCAGTGAGCAACACAGGGTAGAGAGCAGAGCAGGGCCAGCCAGCAAAACTGGGTTAGAAACAGTGTGAAAATGTGTGCTCAGGGGATGACTTCCCATCTTAAGATCCACTGTTTGCCTGGTTGGAAACATATTATACCAGTGATGCCTGATGTCCTGACCAGTAACGAGCTGGTACCATTGTCCTAAATGAGATACACACAGTGGCTGCACCCTGCTTCCCAGGGAGGAAAATCCAAGGGGCAAAAGAGCAGGCACTATGCTAAAACATAGTGCAGACTCTTCAGAACAAACACACTCCTCCATTATTTGCCCAAGGTGCCCAGCTCAGGGAAACAGTGATCCTACACAATGCCTCTGGACGCTAAGATAAAACCTGGAGCAAGACAAGCTCTGTAGATCAGCTCTGTCTGGGAGAGATCTGGAGCTCAGCTCCATGGAAATCAGTGTCATGACTTCCATTCGTGTACACTTGAGCCGTTACCGTTTCTTGGGCAGCTTCAGCAGTGCCATGTAGTTGAGACAGAAGTTGATCAGATCCTGCAGCAGCTCCTCCCCCAAGTGGTCCTGAATGGCCTGCAGAAAGAGAAGGGCAAGTGACGATGCCTGACTTCCCACGAAGCCCACCTGGAAGAGGCAGAAACTGGGGAGAAGAGGCTGCCCATCTGCCTGGGCAGGGCAGGTGCTACTCCCCATGGTGCACAGGGCAGGGGAGCCATGGCTGCAAAGGGAGCTGGACTCACCTGCTTGGACACCAGCTGCCCATTCTTGTATTGCACTGTGCCGTTCTCTGCGAAGACGTAGTCAAATTTATCAATGACTGAGAGGGGAAGAAAAAAAGACGAAACGTTACTACTGCTGGGGAAAAGGGGCAAAAAGGACTGGGATCAGGACTGAGTGAGCCATCTTCTTGCTTCCTTAGTACTGTACTTTCCACAGCTCCTGTGCTCTGCAGAGGGCCACTGGCCATCCTACGCTCCTTGCTTTCCGCAGAGTGGATGAGGAGATTATCTTCTGCTCACGGGTGGGGAGGTGACGCAGGCAGGGGGAAACGACCTGACTGAGGTCACGGGCTGAATCAGTTGCAGGGCGAAGATAAAGGCTCACAAATGTTTGGCTTTCAACTACATACGTGCTACTCTGCTCTCTGCTGTGCCCTCCCCACGGCCAGGCTGCTGAGGTGATGTGGTTACTGGTTATCTAACTCCAGCCCCCCCTGCCACCCAGACACGCAGCACTGGCGACTCAGCAATCAGCATCAGCCGGGAATTTCTCGGCCTCCCTGCACTAACGGAGTGGGAGGCACAGCTTGGAGCCCAGGGGCGCTTGTCATCCATGCCGGAGAAGGAGAACACACACGGTGGAGGAAGCAGGAGCTGCCCCTTTGCCCTCCCACTCCTTACTCTACCCCATGCCTCCATCGGAACGTGAGGACCATGAGGGGGATCCTGAGGTTAACCTGAGGGGACCCCGCCACGGAGCAGCAGGGAGGCGAAAATTGCCAGCAGGGCGTGAAGCTGTCAGAGCTGTGAGGCAGATCGTACAAATCGAGCCGGCAGCCCTGGATTGGAGCCGGCAGCACGGATCGGAGCATCCCTGCCTGCCCTCCACACTCGGGCAGAGGGAGCCAAGCAGCAGCTCCCGCCTGGGCACGGCCGGGCAGCCTTGGGGCCACATTTAGGGCACAGGCGCCTCCCGGGAGACCTCGTCCGCCGCGCTCACCTTCGTCCCCTTCCCCCAGCTGCTCGGCTATCTTGGCATAGTCGGAGCCTCCCACCACGCCGATGTGCACCCTCTCCCGCAGCTCCCTCAGGAACGCGTCCACCTCCGGCTCGATTTTCTGGCGGGGAAGCAGCGGGTGAGGCCGCAGCCGGCGGGACGAGCTCCGCCTCGCCGGCCAGCCCCCCCGAGCCCCGAGCCCCCGCGCCTCGCTACCTGCCGGGCCGGCGTCAGGGTCCCGTCCACGTCGAAGAGACAGAGCACCCGGCCCCGCGCCGCCGCCATCCCGGCCGGGTCTGCGGGCGGGGGGCGGGACCGCGGGAGCTGATGGCGGCCGCCCGCCCGCCCTCCGGGGCCGCACGGGCGGGACGTGCCGCCCTGCCCGGCACCCCCCGGCTGCTCCCCCGCGCCTCCACGGCCCTCACAGGGATGCACTAAGGTGCGGGTCTTGAACGGCTCCCCCGCTTCGGCTCTTTCCTGAAATCATTTTCGAGCCTGGAGCTTGGGGGACGGTGGTGTGTGGCGCGTCTCTTCACATTTGCTGTTATTGCTGCAGTGCCCCCCGGAACTGAGGGCTTTGGGCCTGGATTGTGCTGCCTGGTAAGTTCAGCTCCTCTGAGGGTTCCTGTGTCCTAGTGAAGGGGACAGGAGCAGCACGCACTTTCCTATTCAGTCCCTCACCTTGCTTTTCTAATGGGATGCTGTTAATACTTTCACTGGGGAAGCGAAAATACCCTCTGCACAAAGCCAGTAGCTTTTGCTTTGACCCGCTCTACCATTTACCTCACGAGTCATTTAGGATTTAGACCACCTGGTCAGACCACGTTCATACGGCGCTGTATTATGATGGCTTGATGATGCTGACAGCCGGCCCCATACCCCCCCTCCTCCCCCCTACCTCCCGGTATCTTACAATAATTCCTGAATTATTTTCCAAAATCAAAACCAGCCTATGTGGAATATCCAATGCTTTCTGCTCAAAAATTAGCTTGCATTCTCTCCCCCAACAGTGCTCAGTGTGCTGAGTTATGTTGGAACTGGGGAGAGATTTATTCTTCTTTTATCATCTGATTGTTTTTTGCCTCAGTATAATTTGCTCCAGGATATCATGCAACCCCTTTTCCCAGTTCTTCACCAGATTCCTCTCACAAGGAAGCATTCAGGCGGCTTCACGGATTCTGTTTTCTTCTTGTTTGCCGTTTATGATTTTACTGCTCCCACTCAGTGGCAGGGGTATGTACAGAACAATGTTAATAATTCACCTCTGTGCCACTGCCTCGGACAAGGTTTACCAAAATACCCTCAGCTACTTTCTGAGGGAGACATTTGTTGAGTCCACCAGGACAGCTGTTTCCATTCTGTTTCTGTGAGCTGCCTCTGCAACACAGCGAGTCAGGAAGTCTTGGATGGGTATTGCATGTGTCACTCACTCCAACACTGATATTTCTGCAGAATCTGTGGCCTTCTGGACCAGACCCTGGTTATGGGCTCCCACCTCTGGAAACTCTTTTCTCAGATGCAGGGAAGCTTCCAGAACGGTTTCTTAGCACCCAGCTACTTTGTATGCACTTGGGTGCAGAGTTTTGAGTTGAGTTTAGGGTTATGCTCATTTATAGGACTTGTTGAGGTGTGGTTACACATTTATCATCAGTTAATGTGTGGACACTTACTCCAAAATATGAATCCATCCAAGTGTGCCTACCATGGCATGCTGATGGGTGAGCAGAGATACCTTCCTGGATTTAGGTGCTTGAGTGCCAAGAGCCAAGGAACTGTTCCTCCATGCAGCAGAACTGTGAGCTAACACCCAGGGCTCTCAAAGGACAGCTGTGGGGTCAGACACACTGTGAACTCCCAGGGTTTCAGGAATGCAAACCTTTATTTTTCATAAAGCATGTTTGGGTGGAAGCAGTGTGGAATTAGCATTGTAGCAGCACTGTACTGGGTTCTGCTGTAGCCCAAGCTTCTCCGTGGTCTTGTTTCCTCGCTGCTCCTACCTGCACCTTTCTTGTCTGGGAGACACCTCTCGTGCCTCTTGCACTGACATTACTGTGGGCATTCCAAAAGCAGGAGCTGTTCTCCCAGGCTCAAGTGCACCCCTGTGCTGCAAGGCAGCAGTGCCACCTCGGGGCACTTTCCAGAATTGGGAGGTCTGCTAAAACACAGGACAGCATTCACCTTTTCACACTCCTGCAGTACTGTTGTGTTTATGCTACCCAGGGGAACTTCCTGGAACCTGCATTACCTGCTGTGCTTCCTCAGCTTGTCCTGCTGCTTTAGGGAGTCTCTTCATGTCAAAATGCCTCTCCAGGAAGCACCTTGGTGGCCATTCGGTGTCAGCTGGTGACGACCTGGGACAGCTTGGTTTCCCTGGGAGCATAAAGGTGCCTTGTGCTGAAGTGCACAGCTGTCCACAGCTGGGGCTGTTCCCTCAGCTGGATAAGCTCTGACAACAGGGCCACCATGGCTGTTCTGGTTATTTAATACTCCACATTCCAACCACTCCTGGTACATTCGCTTGGTTGCCGCTCGGATAGGCAGCAGCTGTTGTCAGGAATAAAACCTCTGTTACCAGCAGGAAATTTTGTTTGAAGTTTAGAAGGCAAACAACTGTGAGCACTGGCTTACACTCTGTCTAGAGCTGCCATTAAGGTCAAAGTTTTCCTTTTAGTTTTAAAATAAACTTTTAAAAAGTAAAAAGATAATTTAAATACCTGCTTCCAGGTATTTTGTGTGGGGCCAGTACTAGTACTTGGTAGCAAACCAGCACTACATCTGAAGAACACAGACAAAATATTCACAATCACACATCTCTGTTACAATCCCCTTCTGTTACAAGACCTCTTCTGTACTGTGCTGATACAGACTGTTACACAAACAGGAAACTCTGTGGTTCATCATTTGGATGCCATCAATAAGCATGCAGAAGGCTGAACCAAGCAGAATGAATTTCTTCCCCAGAGTCAGATATTTTAGGCAGTGCTGTATAATCCTCCCCAATATCCCCTCTGGAGCTCCAGAGGAACCCAGTCATGGAAGTCAACTTCTTACTCTACTGCTTTTTTCCTTTTTTTCCCCTTTTGAAAGTAGCATCAAGGCAATCAGGAAAACACTTTTTTCCATTTTAAAACTCTGTTTGGCCTCTTCTTCAACAAGCAGACATTAGACATTTCATACATGAAGACTTAGATTACCAAGGTCTGAACAAAACCTGTGCTGACAGAACATCTTCATTCACCTCATCTAAGCTGTGTCAAGCTGCAGCAGTATGGTTTTAAATACTGTAGTACTTACAGAAGAAAAGATTTCCCAGACTTAAATAAGAGTATTGCCTTTGGCCAGTTTGAGCAAAGGGCAGTTGCCACCACTATTTCCAGTAGCAGCACCTGGCACAAACTGCTTGGAGAATTTCTCAAGCTGGACTTCCCAGATGGGACCAGAATGAAGATAATGACTTCTGGGCAGCTGCATTGGCTGGGCAGCTGTTGGGCACATGCATTCAACCAGAAAAATGTGTTGTATTTATTTTTATTGTAATAGAAAAAAACCCACAAGTAAATCAAAACATCACTTTCTGCCTAAAGACATTATTAACATTTTTAAATGGCACAGGGGAACCTCAGCAATACAAGACAGAATAGTAAGTGTGGGCAAAAGGATTCTGTTCCCTTTCATGATTTCAGTTCCCCTGCCCCTTTGTCCAACAGCTGGCTGAAGTTCATCACCTATATACATTTACATACACTTCTCAGTCTAGTTTGTTTTCAGCTGGGTGGAACATTGAGGGCACAGTCCTGCAATTTACACATAACCATCTTTGGAGAAAACAGGTGGGGTCTCATTACCCAGTAAGAGCAAGCAAAGAGGATTCCCTCTTACAGTTCTTTTGCCACAAAACCCAAGATAGGTCCTGAGCCCAGGAGCTCTGACTATTGCAAACAATGTATGGCTGAGTGAAATTTTACCCAGTGACCTTAAAGAACGAGCATTATCTCTGCAAAGGGGCTCTGCTCAGGAGGGGAAAAGGCAGATTGCAAAATGCACAGAGTGAATGTCTTCCTTTTCTTTCCTGCCCTGAGAGGATGCAAAAAGTCCTGAAGTAGGCAGCCCAGCAGAAACTAGGCTCAGGGCATCCAGAGTGGTGAACATACAGGGCATATCCTCATTGTGTAAGTGTGTGGGGCAGAAAGCATGGCACCAGTGCTTCCATCACAGGCAGCTGTGCAAGCAAGCACAGCTGTGCTGCTTGCAGGTACCAAACGAGCACAGCTTGAGTGTACCTGCCCAACTGAGGAAGCTCCAAGATCTCTAACATGATCTACAGCATTCTGTGGCACAGTCATGTGTGTATTAAGATGAAAGGCTGGTTACTCTTCACAAACACATATGGGAAAAGACTGGAGATAATATATATACTGGACAGGAAAACTAAGCTATGGTGTAGTAAAACCAAACACCAATCCTTCCTCTAGGAGCATCAAAAGGCATTCATAACTGTCTTTCATAGAATGTTTTCTGCAAACAGGACGATTGGAGGGGGAAAGATTGAAAGCTTTTGTATAAAGCCATCTGTAGTAGCTGCTGCAGTTACCTCGAGTCTGTCAAATGAAATGCTTAAGGAGAAGTTGATGGCACAAGGTGAGAATGACAAGGAAAAGAAGCATCTGGGCTGCAGGGGCCACTGCTGTGCACTGAGAGCAGGTGAACATCAAACAGCAGAATGGCCTGACAATACCCTATTCCCATCTCTGCACTGGCTCCACAAGGTGCAGGACAACAGAGTATTTGACAGTGACAAAACTGCAGTTTTCCTCTATTCCAACCCCTCAAAAATACAAACTGTTATCATCCACATAGAGTAACAGTGTGAGAAATTCATCAATCTGCATTATTCCAAGAGAAAAAACCCAGCACAGGAAAGACATCTCCTTTAGGTATATAAGAAGTTTCCAGTGCAGGAAGTTTGAGATCAGTGCAGGACTGAACTTGCAGCAATACTTTACACAACAAAGCACTGGACAAAGGGCTGTACATTTGCATAGATGCTTTTTTGGCAGCATCTGGGATGTGCAATCTCCATTTACAGAGCATCAGCGGTGTCTGGGGTTTGTCTGATGTCCTTCTTATATTCCTTCCTAAATGTAACTGCTACAAAGTTATTCAGGAAAGTAGTGTATATATATGCATGAAAAGAAAACATTGTGCCTATTTTTTCATTCCCCTGTTCTTTCCCACTCACTGCAAGTAAATGCAAAGCTCTAAAAATCTTAAACTAGAAGATGTAGTATTGCTATAATCAAAGGTTAATCTAAGCACAGGACTGCTTCTGCATGTATCCCAAGAAACTCAGTTGTTCCACAGAAAAGCTTAATTTTACTGTTCCTCATTTTCTTTACATTTGGGGAGACCTAGCACTTATTTCTCATAAGGAGAGCCCTGATGTGCTTGACTGCTTTGGAAAGGGCAGCACTTTGTTGGAACTCCTACTGTGTCTGCAATTGGATACTGAAGGCAGAATTGGTCCAACTGGTATTATCATGCAGTTGCCATGCTACTCCTGCCCTGCTGTACCGTAACTCTGGCTTTGCAAGGAAAAAAAACAAACAAGAAAACAGTTCTTATGCATTAACAAGGTTCTGTCTATCTGCTGATAAGCTTATGTGTGAGAAAAGGAAACTTTTCACTTCATTTTACTTTCACCTGAAATTTGTCTCTACCACTTCTGCTCATGAGAGTCTCTTCTTTCAACTGGTTCTTTCCCATAACTCTTGGATCTGGAATGACAAGGCTCTTGGTAACCTTCAGCTCCAGGTTCCCTTCCACCACAGCAAGTCCCACTGAATTTCAGCTTCTGACTGTGACACTGACACATGGTTCAGCTTCATCACCTTTCCCATACACCTGTACCACTGCAGATATTCTAATCACATGAGTTCAGCTCTTCCTTTGAGCAAATGTCAGTGAAATATGCAGACTAATCCTGGGACACCTTCACTTCCTAGGCTACCAATACTTGCTCTGCTTTTTTTGCTAGACTTCAGCAAATACCCTTATAACAGAGGCAGTGACAAGACAGAGATGCAAGGGATGGCCAGGACATCCCCTTACTTACTTCAAGTTGTGTAATGGCCCATTGAATGCTCATGGAATGAATTTCCACTTACCAGCACAGGAGTTACATGGAAAGTGTCAGCCTACTTGGACAAGACAGCCTTTATAAATTAGTATAATACTATTAGAAATTATGGCAATATTTTTGGTAGCATTGTCTTACATGCACCCTGATAAATTCTCTCCCCAGGAAATTTTAAAACTTGTCTTGTAACTTCTTTAGAGTTAATTCTCATGAGAAATTATAAAATAGAAATCTGGTAGATTCTTGTTTAAAAAGGAAGAGGCCTGGTGAGGCTGGGCACACTGGATCACTCCTGTTAGCTCTGTCCATTATGTCTGCTGAAGGTATTGCCTCCGGGTGGCTGGATCTGGATGGAGTCCAGGAGGGGCCTTAGAGCTTGTCCAAAAGGTCTGAGAAGGTAAAGAAATAAACATCTCAAAGAGTTTACTTGGTCAACAACTCCCATTTACCACTGAAGTGCACTCACTTCCTAGAGTGCAATCAAACCAACATTCTAGAAGCGAATTTGACGAAAAGAGTTCCACTACAAACTAAAAGACACTAATTTAACCTATTAGTTTACTGTTCAATAACTAAGAAACTTAAACATGATTTTATATCATATAATCATCAGATAAGGTAGTTCTGAGTCCTAACATGCCTGGACTGCTAATGTAACACTGTCTGAAACCAGCTCTCAGCAATTCATTCTACTTAAGTGTGCAAACAAAATCCTTGTTATGCAATGGCAGTGTTCTATTAAGAACATCAATATTGAGGCCTGCCAAAAGAATAGCCTCTAGCTTACTTAAAAGACAATAGTTCAACACTCCCAGAATAATTTCTGTTGCAATCTGTAGCACCTGGCTTGTCTTTCAGTAAGACTCCCTCTGTTACAGACATTATTTGATTTTGAGAGATCTGAAGTTCTAAGAGTCCAGGGTAGAAGACCCATGTCTCACAAATAATGTGCTACACCACTGTTACGAGAAGTAAGACATAAATGATGGAGCTCACATCATCCTACTGGGATCCTCACTAGCTGAGAGTTAAAAAAAAACAAACAAAAACAACATCTGAATTATCAAGCAGGAAATTCTTAATTTCCTTTTTTCCATATCCTCTTTTTCTACCCAATCCTGGCTTTAAAACTGCAGCATTAATTTTAAAATTGTATCTCCCCTGCCTCTTCACAAGCAAAGTGACACCTCTGCAATTATGGTGCTTAGAGAAATGACTTTGAACAGATACTGGTTGTCTGAGAGGGAAAGAACCCCTTACACTGTCATCTGAAACTTCCTCTATGTAAGAGACCATCACAAACCAGCTAGTTTAAGTTAAAGGCAGAAGAACATCCTTCTCCTCTCTTTGGGACACCAGTGCCAGTTAGCACTTGTCATAGAGTGTTGCAAGTGTTGATGTAAAGAAAATTGCATCCTCTCCTTAATCTCATGCTGGTTCTCAGACAGATCCATCAGGAACTGGTACTGCTGGCTCTGTCAAATGTTTAAGCATTAGCATGAAGCAGCTACAGAGAGGAGGGGCATCCATACTCACGTGGAGAGAACTTCAGATGGAAGGTCAGTGATATAGGAAGGGATTTTTTTTCCTGTCAGAAACTGTGCCACTTCATTACTGAAGGTGTTGCAGTTATGTTCAAAGAGGTTGTAAGACTCTCCTCTGTGCCATAGAAAAGAAATTGAAACAAAAAACCCCACAGATTCAGCAATAAATCATACAAGCAGAAAAAAACTTACACCCTTAATGAAGAATCTTACATTAGCACTTCCTCCCCCCACCCCAAAGAATTCTAAGGCAAATAGGTAAAATACAGACATCAATTCACCCTCAAATTCAATTGAATCAGGGTGGAAAATGACATCTCTCCATATCCCTTACTTTAATGCAACCATTTTTGGGAGAACAGGTGAGGTCAGGTTTCTTCAATTAAAACCACAGTAGCAGTAACGAGAAATCACAGCAATATTGACTCTGAAAGACAGCCAGAACACTAAATGTTGTGGTTTCCTGCTCTTGTGAGAAGCAGGGCAGACCCTTTACCAGTCAAGACCTTGCTTCTACTCATGTGAAAATTGGCAGCTTCACTACAGTGACTACCTATGACTCACAGGGCAAACTGCTATTTACTGAGAGATTTCATTTTCTCTGGTGATTCTCTCAAAAACATTTTAGGCATTATTGGATTTTACAAAAAACAGTGTTAAAGACTTCCCAGAAGAATGCTTTCCCAGCCTAGAAAGTAGCTCCTTGTGTGTACTGGTGCATCAGTCCAGTCCATATTAGAAGAGTACCACATGAGAGAGTAAGCAGACAGAAGCTCTGGGAGCTGGACTGGTTTCATAACACCTTCCTCCATTCTTTTTGGTACAGGTTTTCCAGTACAGGCTGTTACTTACCGGAATGCAGATTCCCCCAAAGAGGAAAGGTATTCCAGAAAAATTTCTTCAGTGACTTCAGTGTTCCCCAGATCAACAACTGTGTCTGGAGGGCCAAGAAGTGTCCCTCCCTGTAAAAATGAACAGCCAGAAGATACTGTCATCAAATGATCAGGCTGAATTCTCTTGGAGCAATCTACTGAATAAAGCTGTTATGGTTCGTGCAGGCACAAAAGAAGGAGCTTTTGGGATGTTTATCAACATCCCAAGGAGGAGCTTTTGGGATGTTTATCAAGCAAAAAGCCCTGTTGGCCTCCCTTGTTCTGCACTCAAGAGAATGAGAAGGAACATGAAACTCCCATTTCAGCTGGTATATTTGGCTCTTTGGGCTGAAAGCTCTAAGCTATGGCAAAACTCTCCTTTAGAAGCATGGCCCATCCATTTTACCTCTCTAAGAACAGAAAGGTCTGAGAAAACATTGTGGTCTGGGGCTTTTTTTTACTCTTAAAAAAGTCTGCATGTAACACTTAATGATACAGAATTGGACAAGGTGTCACTCTGGCAAAGCAGTTGCAAAAGGTGTTCTGCATAGATTGGCTCTACCAGAAGAAGCAACCCCCAGCCTGAACTGAGTTGGGCTTAAACCCACTGTCCATGCTCCCCTCACCCTCAGTTCCTTGGGAAACCATGACAAGCAGCTGGCTTCAGCATCTGTCTAAATTTAGAAGTCTTTTGCTGCTTTTCTAAAAGACAGGAACACAAGCAATTCTGATCAGATAACTTTACAAAAAATTATCAGAAAATTAAGTTTAACTTACAGGTGCACAGCTGGAGATCCCTCCACTGCCATAGAAGAATTCATCCTTATGGACTATTATGGAGGTGTGCCTGCCACAGAAAACAAAACAAAACAAAAAAGTTAAAATCAAGGAAAAAAGTAAATAGCCTAGCAGATAAATCACTGATAAATTGATGAGCTGAAGGACCTAATGAAGGGAATAACTGAAAGAAAAGGTCAATGTGTTTCTGTGAGTGGGAATAGGATCTGCTGAGACATGAATGGATATGGAAGCAATGATTATCAAGCCTACTGTAATCCTGCAAGCAGTTAGGAAAGAACAGGTTTAGCTAAGAGCCCAGGCATGAGCCTCTCTCAGCTAACGGGCTGAGGGTGAGGTCAGCCCTCAGAGACAGAACTTGACCTGCTACCACCCTGACAGAGACTTCCCACGGCCTGAGAAGATGGTCACACAGCCACTGGAGACAGATCAGAGGACAGGAAAATGGATGGACAAGGGTTTAGGGGTTTTCTTGCCTCTAAAATGAAACCAAACAAACCCTCTTTGTGTGATATCAAAATTCTTGATATGAATTATAGGAAATTAAGGGGGTTTTTTGTGACTGAATGTAGATACTGCTCTTATATGACAGAAGACTTGATTCTGTAATACCTTCTTCCCACCTACTCTTTTCCTATCATGTTTAGTCATGCCTGGAATTACAAGACAAAGTGCTTGGGACAAGGACCCCATCTTAACCCTTGAAAAAGTACACATGTTCACAAAAACACAACAGCTACTAACAACACCCTATTCCATGGGGTCCACTGAGCTTTGAACAGAGTGGTTTAACTAGCACCTGACTGTACATAATCCTACTGCCAATCTCTATGCAGCAGCAAAAAGTGCCTTGCTCTCTCTTCCACCACAAAATGTTCTGAAGCTCTGAAGCATATATAACTGCATATTGAAAATACTTCCTACACCAGTGTTTTACCCACATGATGCAATTTAAATCTAGTCACTTACCAGATGCCATCCAGCTGTTTCCCTGTATGCAGAGAAAAGAAGAGTTATTAGCAATGTATTTTCCAGATTTCAGCCTACTTTCCATCAATCACTTAGGAACCATGCTTATTATTTCACCATGAGAGCAACACAAAAGATTTAATCCAGAGCTGCTTTTAAAATTTCAAATTAACTACTTAATCCCCACACCCTCTGTACTTAATCCCTCCCGACAGGCAGAGGTAGTAATGCCATCCTATCCTTCTGATGCTTACCTTCCTTAGGTGTTTTTCTACAGACCAAGAAAACATTTTCCTAAAATTAGAGTCTTCAATCAGGAGCAGAAGAGTTGAATTTAACAGATTTCATAACTGCAGGCAGCTGGCAAGCAGAGTGTATTCAGTTCTCCTTTTCATTAGCTGATGAGAGGTCTGACTTAAACATATGAGCAGTGGTGGTAGCCTCTATAATGTATTCCATGATTTCCTCTTTTCCCTCCCAACCCCTGCCCTTAAAAATTAGTTTAAGTGGGAACTGAGGTAGAGAAGTACAGCACTGAAATTTACACAAGTTATAAAGCTGTGTGTTTTCCAGAACAAAGCAACAAAGACTTGCTTCAAGCACCACCACACTGATAATATAATTGGGTCTCAGAGAAAAGGTCCCTTTTAAAATGTGTTTCCAGTTCCCTAGAAGTAGGAGACCTAAACCTCTTTGTTGTTCATAGTAGGATCTCAAGATTAAACCTATTAAACCTCAAAAGGTCACCAGCTTTTACTGCTCCAGGCTCAATTATTTTATCTATCATAGGCTCAATTATTTTGTCTATCATAACTGAAAGGCTTGGTCCCTGGTACCCTCCCTTTGGGAGCTTGGAGGGAGCTGGTGCATGCTGAGGGAGATGCGTTATAACTTCATTTCCTGAACAAGGTGCAGAACCCCCAAAAAGCAGATTAAGAACAGAAAAACTTTGTGCATACCAGCATTTGGTATTCTCTTGAACCCAAGCACTAGACTGAGTACTCCTCTGGCCACAAGAAAAAGCAATCACCAACACGTTTTTTTCCTCTCAGGTCTGAAGCAAAATAGGTACCTGCTTCAGATGAGGGTCATGGCAGAGCAGAGGCAGGGAAAAGGCTGTTGTGACAACAGAGACATCAGCTGAAGTGAGCATGTGTAGCTTTGAAGCAGGAGGACTGATCTGTCACTCCCATGGGTCACAGCCAGGCAGCAGCCACATTCCCTGTCAACCCATTGCACAGAAATGTGGGCTTGGAGTAGGATGAAGGCCAAGAGAGAGAGGCCATGGCAGAACCAGAACATTGTGTTGCAGTATCTCAGAAGCATCTGCTGGCCCCTTAGCTTGTCCCACTGCTGTGCTTCGTGAGCCTTTGGCCTTTGCTCCACATGCTCCCCAGGAGAGGTTTCACCTCACACTCCAGAGCTGCCAGCTCTGCAGCCCATTGGCCCTGCAGGCTCAGCACCACAGGCAGCACTGGCCTCTGCTTGGCTCTACCCTTTGGCTTTGCCCAGTTAGCATTCTCTGTATCTATTAACAAACTATTACGCATTTGCTCATGATAAATCACTTTTTCACTAGAAACTTGAACTTTATCCTTCAGACCAGAGAAACAAACCATTTCAAAGGCAGCACATATTAGAATCGTGCCTGTCCTTTGCATGCTAAATTGAAAGAGAACATCTTAGTATATTTACTTTCACACACACCTGCAGCAGACAATAACAAAATACTTTCCAGAGAGTTGGCACTTTGTACCTAGATACTGAATGCAGGTGAAAGAGCTGTGGTAGATATTGACAATGTCACAGGTGCTGCCAGGACCTGCTCATGCAATTACAACACCTACCTGAAAATACCATTGCAGCAAAAGCTACACAATGGGCTGCTCTAGCAAGGTTGCAGCCCACAGCTCAAGGGAAGTGACTCTGTCCTCCAGTTTGACACTTGTGAGACCACATCTGGAGTGCTGTGTCCACTTTTGGATCACCACAGTATAAAAGACACTGACATACCAGGCTGGAGCACTTACTGTACTGAAGAAGAGCTGAGAAAACTGGTGTGTTCATCCTCAAGAAGAGAAAGCCAAGAGTCTGTATTCCTGTCTACAAGTACCCAACAGGTATGGATGAAAGGGGACCCTTGCTCTGCTCAGATAGCACAGAGCAAGGCAACAGGTGCTAGCTGGAAAATGGGAAATTCACAATTCAATAGGAAGCAGGGAAAACATTTGTCATGAAGGTGGTCAAACACTGGAGCAGGAGTCCAGAAAGCATATGGGTTTTCAATCCTTGAAGATACTTAGAACTCTGCTGTCCAGAGCCCTAAAGAATTTGCTCTTGTTGGCTCTACCTTAAGCAGGATTTCTAGAGGTCCCTTTTCACCAAAGTAATTGTCTGTATGTACAAAACTCAAGCAGAATTCAGGAACTGGACTTTGTTTTGGACTGCAGTCCAATCTCTACTGTTACACATGAAGTCTGTAGCAGTCCAAAGGCAGAAACTGCCAGGGCAGTAGCAGAACAGCTTTTGGCAAGTGAAGCTGCCTATCTTCACAAGGCAGGTCTGTCTGATGCTGCTCAGCTTGGCTGGTTTGTGCCAACACTGATTTGAAAATCTTAACGAAGCTGCAGACCCACTATTTTTCCTTGGCTCCTAAAAGTCATTAACCAAGCTGGCATTGTGGAAAACACACACCAGATCTGCAGCACTGCTGACAATAAGGCATCTGTGGTTGCTCTCAGCCTGCTGCAGACAAAATATAACCCCTTTCTTCCACTGATGGACTGTGTCTGGTGAGAGGCAGTGCAAGCGTCTTCAGTGACAGCCCTGCTGGGGGAATTCCATGCCTAAGAAACCTGCCATTATTGGCCACATATGCATCAAACAGAGACATCCAAGACTGAGAACTTTTGCTAAGCTGCTGCAGTACCCCAGGCTTCACAGCTGGCTGTTGTCATTTCAACTCAGACTGAGCCACAGAGGAATAAATCAATGGCCACCGGTTTCTGAGGAACTCGGGCAGCTCCCTTTCCTGCTGCTCAGCAAGAATCTGTGTTGCTTGTCTGCCATGTAAGAGGTTATGTACAGAAATTCATGGACACAATCATCTTCCCTCTCAAGTCTGCCTCTGGTGGGAACCCTCCTCTATGACTCTTCTTGCCCTTTCTCCCAGACTCAGCCACTGCACAGAACAGGTGACAGCTCACCACCACTGCCACCCCTGATAAGCTAAGGCAGAGCAGTCAGGGCAGCATGCACTAATGAGCTATATTTTGCCTTCTGCTTGACATTGCTCACTACACACAAAATATTTTGCCCAGAGTCTCTGAAGGCTTGATACGCACAACAGCCCCAAGAGCATGACCAAGCAAGGCTACAGCATTGCTGTGAGTGCTGAGACACAAATTGTATCTGGGCCTTGCAGCAACACTTTCCAATAAAGCTGCTTCTGGCAGCACTGTCCACTTGAAAGCCAGAAGCTCAAGGTTGCCATGAACTTCCCCAAAGAGTCCTACAGTGCAATAGAGCTGACATCCCATAGTCAATCGAGTGGACTGTAAGAAGGGATTGCAAACACAATCCAGGATACTGGCAGATATCATCACATTTCCTGTTCTTCCACTCCTTGCCACAACACTCCAAACCCCTATGGTCACTGCAGTGTGGGTAGAGCTGTGTGCTGGTGCTGCCACCAAAACCAAACATTTACTCATAACCTGAGGCTGTCTATTACTGTGTAGAGATTCTCTCAGTCATTTCCAAAAGCTCTTGCAGCAATAAATTGCAGGCATTACTCTTTGCTCATACCTACAGTAAAGCTAATCCAAAGGATGCACATGCTCAAAATGCAGAACAGGAATGTCCTGATGGGATGATGCTCTTTTGGACACTTACTGTATCTGAAGGAAGGGTTATCCAGAGGATGGATACAGGCTCTTCTCAGTGGTGACACGGAATAGGACAAGAGGGAATGGGCAGAAACTGAGGCACAGGAAGAGCCATCTGAACATGAGAACTTCTTTACTGTACAGGTGATAACACCCTGGAATAGTAGCTCAGAGAGGTTGTGGAGTTTCTCTCACCAAAGATACTCAGGAACCATGTGGACACAAACCTGTGCCTGAGACATGCCTGAGATGTCCCTGCTTGTGCAGGGAGGATGGACCAGATAACCCACTGTAGTCCCTTCAAACCTTACCTCTTCTGTGATTTTGTTATCCAGGTAAAACAGGGAAACAGCAAGATGCTAACTAGTTTAAATATTTCAAGGGTCAGGGGCTGTTGAACAGGAAAGGTCACTGCAAATTTAGATGTACACATTTGATCACACAACATTTACTGCATATGGCCAGGCTATCAGGTATCAGCCCTCCCACAGAAACTGCCCATGTGCCAGCTCAGCCTGAAGTAAATGTGAAGCAAATCAGCTTAATTGATGTGCATCCATTCCAAGCTAATGCAAGTCAAGGTACCTTGTTTTCATCACAGACCATGAACATGGACATGAAAAGCTACTGCATTATATTTGTGAGAGTTTCAGGGGATAGCCTGTCAGTCTTTGGAAATATGATCACCATGGTTTTTGTTTGGGGATGGTTTTGTTTGTTTATTTACTTTTTCATTTTTCCCTTGCTGATGTGCTTCTGTGGCTCTTTCCTGAAAATACTCACAAGAACCTGGGGGGGGTGATGTCAGTTCAGCATAAATCTGTGTGCTTAAGCATCTCAAAGATTCAGTTTCTTTCAATAAGGCAGAGTAAGTAGCAAGTAAACAAGCTTTTATATTTACTGTTTTATTTTCTTTATAACATTCATAGCTCAAATATTTTAATGGTGTTTACATGAGCCAGAAACCTATGAGAAAAATAAAACATAAACAATTCCAGGACCCTCAGTTTAGTCACAGGAACAGGGAGAATGAAGTAGTTAGATTAGTTTCTTGTAAAATCAATTCAGGAGACTGTAATGGTTTAGATACAGGGGTATTTTGAAAGAAGAAGCAAGCCCATATAATTTTAGAATACAATCAAACTGGATTACTTCCATGCTTAGATTTGTCTGGAAAGCCAAGCACAAGGGAGATTAGATGCTCACCAATCTTTTTTATAGTCACAGTAATTTATTAATCTTGCGGGCCAAACAATGTTGATTATTCCTGTGCATTTAAAATATCAAACAAAAGTGGCATTTGTATATTAATCCAAATTATTATACTGAAGGGCAGAGGAGTTCTGAGACATGAGGGAAGGAACTGTCTGTGCAGATGGGCCCTTAGTTTACCCCATTTGGAGTTCAGGCCATCCAGCCCTCAGTGCAAGATCTACACCTGTTTTGAGCTGTAAGGAAATAACAGGAAGCTCAGTATCTTTAACAGTATATTTGTGGTCTGCAATGGATATGCAAACTCCAGAAGACCATAAAAAACTCTAAAAAAAAATGTAGTGAACTGTTCTCCTGTGGAATCGGAAGTTATACAATTTGGTCAAACAAGGCAAGTGTTGGTAAGTGTTCCTAGCAGTGCATTGCTTTGCATATTGTTGTCATTTCCCTAGGACAATCCATTAAGATTCCTGCCTTTTATGAATTGAAAATTACTCTAATTAGGCAAACACTCTCTTCTATGTGCTACCCAGTGCGCTCAACCAAAGCAAAAGAGAAAACCTAACAGAGAGGGAGGAGCCTGCTTCAATTCCCTTCTCCTTGAGGTGCCTAGAGAGAGGCAGAAGTAGGCTATATTGGGGGAGGGTAACACATGCCATTTTCGTGAAATCCCCAGCAAATGCTGGGAGCAAAGCTGATAGAATATCTTGCTGAAGCAATTCAAAACTGTTCAGAACAGATGGAGGAGAAGCAGAGAAATGTGCTGGCCTGGGAAAATGGAACCAAGCAGAAGGCACCTCCTTTCAGCAGTTACCTTTCGCTCCAATTCCCTCTGGGCTGTTAAATCCCTACAGCTGAATGCACCACTTAAAAATTTCAACCAAAACATACTCCCAGTCCACTCAACATTAATTTACACTACACTGAGCCAAGGCTGCTGCGGTTAACCAAGCTCCCAGCTCACTCTGTGAGTCACAAAAGCAATAACCTCAGTTACAGGACAGGAGAACTTTGAGCTGGTAGATATTTTTCTTTAAGCCTATGATGCAATAAGGTTTTAATCTTCCTTAAAGACTTCTCTGCCTTTGGACATCTATTTCAAAATCAGCACTGCAAGCTGAACTATTCTCTTTTCCTCTTTAGCCTCCACAGAATCAGATGGATTATGTTTTCTGTCTTGGCAACAGAAAGCTTACTGCATTCAGGTCAACATTTCTCATTATTATAACAAGTATTTGAACAGCCAAATGTAGTCACAGACTGAGAGTAGGGGAGAGAGGACCAACAGTAGCTATTGAGAACATGTAATGTAAAGCAACATAAAAATTAAATGTGCTGCTTCTGATACCAAAGGCAAGTGAACTACAATTTTTGGTCATGTATCCTTCAGAATAGGAATAGTCACGAAATTACAGAAAGCTTACAGAAAAGTAAGAAAACTAAAAGTAGTCTGGGTAGAGAAAGAGTAAACTGGCCAAGAAAAACAAAGACTGTCCAAGGGACAAGACCAAGTCACTCTAAAGCCTGCTATGAACTGTGCTAAACATCTCTGCCTTCCAGATTCACTAAACAACAACAGAGAGAAACGGTACTGAACAAGTCAGTGTAAATTTGGCAGTGAGAGCTGACCCCTGACATGGCCCCCAGAACCTCTGGACCCTGTCAGCACAAGAAGCCACAGTGCAGTGATGCCCTTGCAGTGGTCAGTCTCACAAGACAGGATTCATCCCCCTCTGGCAAGGGGACCTGAGCTGCTGTGTTCAAGCCTGACAGAAATTGATTTTAGCACAATCAATTACGGTATTTATTTTTTTATTTCTAAAACAATGTATTTCAATGTAGGCAACATTACAGGATTATGACTGAAAGCAAAAGCATTGTTTCAAACTTGGCATTGATGAAGAGAATACTGTAAGTAGAGATGCCAAGTGTAAATCATTTAAGAAATGCCTTCTTCTTTGATTTTTGTGACCTTCCTCGAGGACCTACAGTTTCTGAACATCACTAAAGAAAGAATTGATATTGACCACCTGAGGGTTGATATACAGAATAATAAGAAGAGTTTTTTTGTTGTTCTTCAGGGAAAAAAGGGTCTATGCATGAGGTAAGAGGAGTATTCTCTCAATCACTTGGCTCTTGGGGAGGTTTCCAAAATCATCTGAAACAGTGACAAGCGTGAATGCATAGAAGACACAACTTGAAGGAAGGAAGGAAGAAAGAAAGAATGATTTGTTTTACGGACAATCGTGTCACAGGATGCACCATCTCAAATGTTCTGCAGTCTGCATTGTCACTGTGACCACGCGGGCCTAGTTGGCCACATTCCACGAACACATCTGAACACAGTTACCAGGCAGTACTAGCAAGCAGCACTTCCCCTCCTACCCAGAAGTGTTCAGGTTTTTAAGCTTTCCTTTTCACTGCTCAGATTCCCAAAATTTACCACCAAACTATATCACAAGCACAAAAGTTTCCAAGTTGTCTGAATAGATTAGAAAGCATCAAAATGAAGTAATGTGCTAGGTGTTTTTATGTGGAAATTCAGAAAGCTACAAGATGCCAAGACTGACTTTGTAGGCAAAAAGGGAGGTAAAAAGCCTTTGCTTGATCTGTGTGGAGATTGGCATGGAGATAATTATAGTGGCAACCCACCTCTGTTTACAGTCTTTGCTTGGACCAACACTTTGATATAAGAGTAGTTATACTCTACTCAACTCAATTACAGGTAAATCATGCACCCATGTAATCTCAAGATTTATAACTCTTAGCACATGATAAAACATGGCTATTTCACCTGATAGGCGAAAAGCTATTTCCCTACAGGCTACAGTAGAAGCAATTCTGACCACATGAAAAGTTTTGAGGTTATCCAGTGCAGGAAACACACATCTCCCAAAGTGGTTGCTGCTAAATGACTAACAGAGCACAAAACACATGATCCCTGTACTATTTTCTTCCTAACTTTGCAAACCTATCGTTGACCTTCGTGAAACCTCATGCTTTGGACTTTCATTTTAAGCTTGCAGGAAATCACAAGAATCTCCTCATAGGGCAGATGAGCAAAGTGAATGCCAACAAACTGTAAAACAAGATTACACAGAGCCATCTGTTCAGACACTGAGTCTGTTGAGAAGTCTCATCCCACACAGACTGCTGGTCTGACACAGGTCAGAATCTGCTCATAACAGGTATAAAACACTCTCCTGTTGCATTCCTAATTCACGCTTCCAAAAGTTTAAGCAAAACCTGTTTCCTTTCAATCCCAAGTTTCAGGTTCGGTTGGAAATGCTCACAATCTCGACAACACATCCAGCAGACTCCTACAAACCCTCTGAAGGAGAGGGAGGATAGCTGCACATCACCAGCCCAGCCCGGCCTCACCACAACATGGAGCCGTTCGAGCTCCATAACCTTGTAAACGGCAGGCACCTTTCCTCAGCTCAGCCTTGCGGCCGCACACCGGCCGGGCTCAGGGAGCCGCGCCGTGCCTCCCTGCAGGGGCCAGGGAACACTTTTACTGTGCCGTTAGGAAATACACCCGCGCAGCGACAACGGGCGGCTGCGGGAGAGCAGGCTGGACCCAGAGCAGCTGCATCTGCCGCACTGATCGTCCCGAAGGCAGCGGGGTCCCGCAGCCAAACCCCGCAGCGTCCCCAGGCACCGAGCCGCCGGGCAAGCCCCGCGCATCCCGAGCCGCGCTGCACCCGCCGGACACCGGCGCCGCCCGGAGCGCCCTCGGGGAGCCTTTCCCGGCGGGCCGCTCCCTCAGGGGAACGATACCGGGCGGGGACCGCCATCCCCGGGGCGGCAGGCGGCGACTTCGGCCCCGTTTTCCGGCGCGGCAAAGCCGGGCCGCGGTGGTCGGTGGCGGAACGGGAGCCCGCGGGAGGCGGCGGCCGGTGCGGCCCCGGCTCCCTCGCCGTGCTCTTACCCAGCATGAGGTGGCTGAGGCGCCGGGCCATGCCCTTGGACAGGTCGTACACATAGAGCTTCACGGGGTGCAGCGCCAGCGGCTCCTCCATGGGGACGGTGACGCGGGCGCGGCCGCCGGGAGGCAGCCGGAACCCTTGCAGACAAGGTTGGAAGGCCCTTCCCTCCGGCAGACGGAGGGGAACGGGAGGAAAAGGCGGCCCCGGTGTCGGTCCCCGGCACAGCGGCACCAGCCGAGAGGTGACAGGCGGGGAGGAAGGGGCCACCCTCCCCGGGCGCATGCGCGGCCGCCCCGCGCCTGCCAGGCCGCCCCGTCACTGCGCGACGGCGCCGGGGGCGGAGCTACAGCCAGGGGGGCGGGGACGGACAAGTCCCGCCGTCATTGGCTGAGGCTCGAAGCCGTGAGCAGCGCGTGAGGAGTTCCCGCCCTTCGCTACCCCACTGCAGCCAATCCGCGTGGAGAGGAGGGGCAAATGCCCCGGATGGGCGGGACCCGACCCATTTCCGCTCTCGCCATTGGTCAGAGTTGTTGCGGGGGCGGAGCGATCGGTCGGCTGAGCGTGAGCGGGGCCGTGCGGCGCGGGCCATGGCGGGCTGGGGGTCGTTCTACCGGGGCGAGGGGCTGGAGGAGGAGGAGGAGCAGCAGGAAGAGGAGGAAGGGCCTGAGGCTGTCGGTAAGGGCCCCTCTCCCCCTCACGGAAGGCAGCCTGCTTTCCAGGCTCCACGGGTGGAGGGGCCGCTGCTAAAACTGTTTCCCCGTTCGGTAGCGGAGCAGAGGTTTTCGGGCCGGGACAGCCTCATCTTCTTGGTGGATGCCTCCAAGGCCATGTTCGAATCCCACGGGGAGGCAGAGACTCCTTTCGACATGACCATTCAGGTAGGGATGGATAAACTGCTAAGGCAAGACTTTCGCACTCCTTTCTGAAAACTATTTTCTTGTAATTTTGACCTGGGTGCGTTTTTTTCAGTGCATCCGGAATGTGTATACCAGCAAAATTATCAGCAGTGACAGGGACCTGTTAAGCGTTGTGTTCTATGGTACAGAAAACAACAAGAATTCGGTAGATTTCAAGCACATTTATGTTCTCCAGGAGCTGGACAATCCAGGTAAAGTGGTATGAAGATTTTGTAAAAAGAGGGAGTAAGGAAATTGGTGTAGTAGCATTGTCAGTAACTGGTCTCTCTAAAATCAGAGAGCTATCAGAGAAGTTCTTACTGAAATCTACTCTTGGTGGTGGGGATAGATTTAGATATTTATTGAAAGCTTAGAAACTTCATAAGAGCCTAGCATTTTCTCTTAGAGTTGGTTCAGATCCTTTTCTATGCCTTTTCTTATATTTTAATGTGGTGGCTTCATTTGCTGTCTGCTGATACCTTAGAGTATCTCAACAGAACTCTTAAATGTCCACCAGAAAAGTGTGTTTCCGTGTTAAGGCACCATGGATTCCAGCTGATGGAGAATGTCACAGAACAGCTGAGGTTGGATGGGATTTTGGAGGTCATCCTGTCCAGCCCTCCTGCAGCTAGAGCAGGTGGTTCAATATGGTAGCCTGTTTAGGGTGTTCCATCTCTTATTTCCATAATAAGTTCTGCAGTTCTTGAATTTCGCTCTTTCATTTTTTGAGATTTACTTACCACCTGCTTGATAGCAAGTGCTGGTTGCTGAATTGGAAAGGCAGCAGGAGAAGTGCAAAGGATGCATGCTAGTGGTGACAGATTGTCTGGCAGTTGAGAGTCTTCTGGGGGAATTTTGTCTACAACTTTTAATACAGCCCTTATCTCTGAGGATGTTTGATTTAATTTTCTTTACTAGGGGGTGCAGGTTTAATGGCACAGGGGCTTCTCCTGAAAGAATTGAGCCTTGTCCTATTTTCAGAATTTATTACAATAGAGACCTGATAGGACTGCCTTAGGTTCTTCTCCCTTTTCTGACAGACAGTGCCTTATAGGTCTTGTATTTCCACTTTCCTCCTCTTCCCTGCTTGTCCTTTCTCCCATGTTAGAGGCAGTAGCCTCACTGTGAGGATAAAAACAGCACAGGTGAAAGGTGGGTGTTGGTCTGATGCCTTCTGAGGCTACCTGGACCAGAGGCTAAACAGAGTTAAAGGAATAAAGCAGGTATTTATTAAAAGGCCTTCAAAGGATACACCTTGGGCAGTCCAAGAGCCTGGCTGTGGCTCCACCCAAGATGGATCCTCAGTCACGAGGTTTCACACTTATGTAAGTTTTGGTCTGTTGTGGTGTGTTGCAATATCCTGTTTTACCTTCTCCCTTCCCCCTCGCCGAGTGTGCCTGTCAATCAGGCTAACATACCAGTGTCCCTAGTCCCTTGAGACCCTGCCCCTTCACCTGGTTGGTGACTCACCTGTCCCCTCCCCTTCCCCTGTCCTGAGCTTAAAATGTTAATGAGACCATGCAGCCTCCATTCTGTTAGCAGCAGTGGCCCAGTGCAGACACCTCTGTACCAATGGAATAAACATCTGGTAACCTTCTAGCAGAATCCACTCCTTTTATCTCCACTATCGCCAGAAGCTCTCTCTCCTGAGGAGAACGGAGTCCTGTCTTGTGCCCCGCTGCACTCTGCCGCCAGCCAAGGTATCTCTGGGGTAAAACACCGCAGTGCTGTCTTTGGCCCAGCAGCGAAGGTCAGAACTGGCCTAGGCACCATCTAACTGGTTATATTGGGATACTTATTCCAATATTGGTCCATTTACATATTGGGGTTAATTATCCAATTACAGCTTATGAAGTTCCATCCTCCCAGACTGCTCTCCTCAATTTGCTGCTGTTTACACTTTTTGGGCCTGAAGCTGCAAGTGTCCTTGGTTCTCAGGCTGGAAAAGGATTGCTTTGTCTAACTGCCCTGTGAAGAGAACTTGCTGACACTTTATATGAAGCTCAGAGTTACACACTAAGGCAGTACAGAATCTAGAAAATATGAAAGCTAAAACTTAAGGCATCAGTTCAAAAAGAGCAGAGTTGTGTATTTGCTGCCCCTGGAGAGCAGTCCTCTCTGGAGGAGATGCTGTAGGTGATCATTATGGAGTACAGAATTATGAAGATTTACGTTAAAGGACAGATAAGGAGATGAAAATAAAATAGTAAAGGCAGAGGAAAACATTTTCAAATGAAGTGTTTTAAGTGCTATAGAGCTTAAGTGAAGGACAGAGGAAGAAGCCCTGCAGGATGCAGTGGCTGAAAAATGAAAGTTTGTCTCCCATTGTAGAGTAACAGGAGAGAACAGAACCTGCTGTTAGACAGGTGGCTAAAGGAGTCCTAGCTGGCTTGAAATAATCCTCAGAGCTGCAGCAAGGCTGTGGACAGCTGACCTGAATGTTGCTGTGCTCAGTGTGGTGATGTGTGGGCTTCATCTCACCTCTGTGTGCATCCTCTCTGATATGAGCGGCGAGGAGGAGGAGCTCTCCACCTTCCCAGCACGCTGTGGAGATGCAGGATGCATTTCAGGCTCTCTCTTTTCTGTGGTGGTGCAGCAGTCTGCTGTTCCTCTGCAGCAGGTGCAGTTTGCTGCCTTTGCAGCTGAGCACTTGGCATTCGGTGGAGGGGGTTTGCAATACTTTAATTCCTGTCTCTTCCCACAGAAAGAGCCCACATTGGTGCCAGGGCATTTTGTGTCCTTTTGCCCTAGCAGGTGCTTTCAGTGGTAAGTGGCTAATGATATTGCAGATGTTAGGCCATGCTGGACAGTTTTCTCAGCCAGGTGTTGGAAGGACATCGCTGTTGGAGAAGATGAAACAGGAAAGCCTTATAAATAAAGAGGAAAGCCTTATAACTGATTGCCTGGCAAAAGATTTTGAGAATATAGAAACTATAAGCAAGATTGAAATGAAAGCAAGCTTTGAGATACCTTAGTTACTGAACAACTGGTATGGCCAGACTGAAGGTAATCCCCTTTTGATGAGGCAAGACCCTCTGCTTGCAGACAGGTCCAAGGGTCAGAGCAGACCCTACTATCTTGGCAGAAGGGGTCCAAAGAGTAGATTTTAGGGTTTAAAATGTAACACAGTGTGGTAATGAAATGATTTTTATAGCCTATATGTAAATGCTGTAGGATTTGTATATTGTGCTAGATTGGTTAATGAGAATTAGAATATTTCAACACAAAGAAGATTTATTGTGTTGTAATGGAAAACTCACTTTCTTACCCTCGCGCTCTTGTTATCTTATTGTATTCTATATTTCTCAAGTCCCCTACTGTACCAAGCTATTCTTCTCTGCAGCACAGTCCTTCATGTGTCTTCTCAGAGGCTCCTCCTAGGCTCTCGACCCACCCCTATTTATTCCAGTTACTTTCACGAGCTACAGCTGCTGCCCAATTAAGGACTTCACAGCTGTAGCTGGTTTGGAGTAACTAGGACCCACACAGATCTTACAGGGACTCTCTCCATAAGGACTCACTTATTTAATACATAGATCTTACAATACATAGATCTTAACAGGGACTCTCTCCATAACAATGCATATATTCAGGCCCCCACATCTCTCTCTCATCCTCTCTACCCTTGTATTCTCTCGAGCCTGCTCCGAGCTGTGGCTGGCAGCACCCAGGCCCTTTGCAATAAACCCCAAGTTCCATCACCTGGCTGCAGAGATCTCTCGTCTCCGTCCGTCCCGACCGTCCTACCCCCCTGCACATTGCCACAGAGGTGCCTGGGAGCATTCCTTGGCTGTCAGCTCTAGGGCACCCCTGGTGCATGCTCAGAAGAGCTCATGGTGCTTGTGGCAGAATTCCCACTGTCTGTGGATGCTGTTGCCCCCAGGTGCGAAGCGTGTTCTGGAGCTGGACCAGTACAGGGGAGAGGAAGGCCGGGCCCTGTTCCGGGAGAGCTTTGGCCACAGTGCTGACTATTCCCTGGGTGAGGCGCTCTGGGCCTGCTCCAACCTCTTCAGTGATGTCCGTGTCAGGCTGAGCCACAAGAGGATCATGCTCTTCACCAACGAGGATGACCCCCACGCCAACGACAGTGCTAAAGCCAAGCTGGCCAGGACCAGAGCTGGTGATCTCAGAGACACAGGTCATTCTTTCCCCTTTTCATTTTAGACACAGTAAACGTGATGAATCTTTGCAGCAGATGTTAACTGCGTTGCTGGTTTGTGATGGAAAAAGATGTAAAATCATTGGAGCTGGGGAATGTTTCTGAAAGTTCCTAAACTAGAAATTTGGTATCTAGTCTTAATTAGAATAGATGTTTTCTGATCTGGTATTCAATAGCTAGCACTTGTTTTCTAGGATCTCTTTCTAGTTTGATAGCATAAATGGGGACATGACAGGGCCAAGAAAATAAACTTTTCTTTATTAT